CTAGATATTCGAACAGCGAATATTTCAGTCAGTCGTGAGATAGACGTCTTAATCGCAAGTTTAGTGACACATTTATCTCTCCTTATGTATTATTATTCATAAAGAGGGAAAAAGGCCTCATAATTTTTACCTAAAATTTTGACGGAAAGAAAACAGCTCATCCAAGCTGAAGTGTAAAATGGCGCCAAATACATATCATTAATTTTCCAGGATTATTAATTGCCTTTCGTTTTGTGAAGATGGCTCAGAACAATATTGGTTGGATACGCATGGAAAGTAATTTTATTGCAATGCAAGCGAATTTTGAGACATTTTCTGAAATTTAACGAATATGAGATATTTTCATGAATATCAAATAAATCTGCGAATTTTGGATTCTTTCCTCATTATTTTTTAAATTCATTATCATAATTGTTAGAGTGTTTGTATTTAAATAAGTTTAATGGTGGTTTCTTTTAGAACTCACTCAAAAATGCAAAGTGAATCTATTGCAAAACCCAAAACATAACATTGAACTACTTTAATACTGGACTTCCGGAAAGCAATAAATGCTGTTTTCCGATGCTATGTAAAATCATCCGCCATTGCTTTTCAGCTGCCAACAAACTATTTCATTAGGAAATGATCTTCTTTTAAATTCAAAAACGTGTTACTTAATGAAAAATTATGTGTATGCGCAATATGTATGTTAAATTAAATAATAATTTACAGTTAAATGATAACCTAATGTAGCACTGATACGTTTGTAGAATATGACTGGTTTATAGACGTGAGGTTAAACATAAAAAGGAAAAAGAATAAAAAAATACGCATACACTTTCGTTGGGGAGAGGGGTAATATTAGTCAAATACTTATAGCGAAAGTTTTAGCGTAAATACGTTTAGCGTTAATAAATCATATGAATATACTCTGACTATGTCGGATGTGCTACGAATTTTTACTATTTGCTTTGAGTATTACTATTTGCCCTGTGAAGTTTTTCTTTCCTGAGATAAAAACAACTTTTTTATTGATATGCATTAGTAAATATGAAAGATAAAAACTTTTGATTGTGTTTAACTATTTAATTCCTTCTAATTACTTGAATATAAAGCGAAACAATAATATCCTTAATGATTTATACTATGAAAATAAATCTAGATGAATTAATGAAACTTTTATTTTCAAGGCCTTCTTATGTGGTGTTCTGAATGAATTACTTAATAAATAAAAAAATTACTCTTACAGTCTGTTTTTAGAAGTAATTTTTTCCTAGATACGAATGACAATATTAGTGATTTATGAGTTCTGATTGGAATAAATATATTTCTGCATTTATCCTAGAAATGCATACATTTCCTCCAATCACTGCTACTAAACAAAAGAGCTTGTTTTGTTTAGTAACAGTGATAGGAAGAGTAAGGATTTCGATAAAGTGATGATTTCTGCCTACTCATTGCTCTTATTGCTTTCCTTTTGCATTCTATATTGATTGACCTAGATCCTGCAGCCTTTTATTTTAATTGAGGAATTATCAAATATCCTAACGAACAATGCTATCAAAATTACAATTCTGATATCTAGCCCAAAACATTTTAACTTAACTTGGCGCTACGCGAACACTCTTCGCACACTTCGCAAAACTTCTAAGTTTTTCTGCTCGCACACTTCGCAAAACTTCTAAGCTAAGAATCCATTTAATCTGATATTTTCTTAATTTTTTATTTTTATTAGAGTTTCTCCGGGAGTTTTTATTAGAGTTTCCTGAGTTTTCTATTTTATTATAGGTAACAAATTTTATATATATGTAAGAAAAATAATATGTAAAAGATTAAATTAGCAACCTAAATTAATTTCCCTTCTCTATTCTAAAAATAGTAACCCCTCTCTGCACTGCGTCATTTCGAGAAAAATCTATGTCATATGACTCTTACGTAATTATGATGATGTAAACGGAACTAAAACTCTTAACAGTCAATAATAATTTTACACCAATATTAACCATCCAATCAGAATGCTTTGAGAACAAAAACTAACTCAATCTGACTTGGGATTTCATCCTGAACATTACACACTTGCTTTCTACATTTTGGCCTAGCTACACTGCTGTCTGTCTGCTTTCTTGCTACAAAATTATCAAAAATGTAAATCTTTTGGAACAGGCACATTTAATGTGCCGACTTGTCATAGCCACAACATGTTGCTAAAAATAAAACTGAAGATTTAATCTGCATTCGTCTCCAATTTCCTGGTCATTGCTTCTGAGTTTGACAGTTCTAAGGCATCCAAATTCCGGAGCCTAAATATTATTACATATATATTCCGGACATTATGTTCCGTATATGTATGTATATGTAATTTGGCACACTTACCTTGCTAACTAGGTCTAACAAATCATATGGATATAGTCTGACTATGTCGGATGTGTAGTTTGTCATAAACAGTTAATATTTTAGCTTACTAAAGTAAACTCTCGTTAAAGATTTTTTTTAATTTAGTCAGAGGCCGATCATTTCTGTCCATATAAAGAAGAGTGCTCGCTAAGAGGAGGATGTATACTTCAGTAATTAAAACTTCAAATTATACAGTAATAACATTTAATGCATTATGAGTGTACAACGTAAGTCAAAAAATAAGTAAAATAAAATATTAGGGAACAGTACTCGGGAATTATTCACAACGAAACAAAATGTACTTACACACTTAACCAGCAGAAACGTGTTTATATTTTCCTTACGTCTTATAAAATTGAACAGATTTTAATTCTTCACATTAATAGTTCTTTATTAATACAAAGCCATATCTCTTCATAAGAATGACAGTTTTCTGTGGTAATGCTGCTTTAGTCCTATAATCTAACAGAGGTGAAGCGAGTTATCTCTATGTCTAAGACAGAACGATAGTCTTAGGAAGGTTATAAAAATAACCTTTTTATTTGAACATATCTTTGAATATAATATGCATGACTTCGTGCTACAATAACCACAGCTTTTAAAAATGCAAATTAAAATAAGAGTTGTCAATAAATTAAATTTTAGGCAGTAGTCTGAGACTACACAATTCAATACTAATTTAGAAGTTGGCTCAATAATTTACAGGTGTGTCAGGTTTAAAGTATCGGCGGCGACAGATCACAAGGACGAATAATTGCAACTTCTAGAGCTGTGAGAAGCTCTAGAAGCTTCTCACAGCTCTAGAACAACTTCTGACAGGTATTCGTTCCATGTAGCTCGCAAATAATAGGGGAACGGAAAGTAATGTCGTTTCTGCGCATGTCGACAACAACATGCTAAGGGCAGCAGTGGAAGCAAATCCATGTCAGATACTCTTAACCAACCTTGGTCAACCATCCAAGAACATTTAAAGCAGTATGGAAAAATAGCAAAGCAGGTGTTTGAGTCCCCTATAATCTGTCCGAAAAGAACAAAGCCAAACTATCCATCACATGCAACGTATTGCTTCAACGGCACCCTACAGAACCGTTTTTTGATCGTTTGATTAGTGGAGACAAAAAAACATAAGTTCTATATGATAATCCAAAACTCAAAAGACAGTTTTTATAGGGGTTACAAAGGGTTTACATCCCGAAAAGGCGCTTCTGGGTGTTTGATGGAGTATTCGCGGAATTGTTCATTTTGAATTGCTGAAACCTGGACAAACTGTTAATGCAGACCTTTATTGTCAACAATTGGATGGAGTGAACCAATCTTTAATCGCAAAATATCAATTGTCAACAGAAAATTCGTCATTCTGCAACACGATAATGCAAGACCGCACTGTGCAAAACGAACACTGGAAAAAATTAATGAATTGGGATGGGAGGTACTGCCATACTTAGCCGCCATACTCGGCCGATATCGCAGCATTGGATTTCCATTTATTCGGATCCCTACAATATTTTCTTAGTGGCAAAAAATTAGAAAATTTGGATGATGTCCAAAATGTCCTCTCGAGATATTTTACTTAAAAACCAATTGATTTTTATCGGTCCGGGATTGAAAATCTGCACATTAGATGGCAAAAGCTTGTTGATAACGAGGGTGATTATATTATTGATTAAAAATAAAAACTTGTTAAAAATGTATTCGTTTGAATTTAATGTAAGAAAGCGACATTACTTTCCGGTCCTCCCGGTACAAGAAACACTCTTCCTCTCCAGATCCCAAAACCTGAGCTTAAATAATCAAACAACAAATCTGCATTCTGTTGAGATACATGGAAAGAAGTTGTAGTAAAGGCCGAAATCGTAATTACTTGTTAATTAATATAAGATACTCTGCAACCTTCTGATTAAAACGCAGGTGAGTGGTGGAATTTCACTGAAACTGAATTTCCAGACAAGCGATCCAACTGACTTCCTTTCCAGCAGTTTCATGATTTTCCTTATATCAGTACGAACCGCTCTCTCTCCGAATGTATCTCTCTTAAACCAAATAACACTCATGTGCTTTGGCACAGTTACGTATTATTCTAGCGGATACAAAGTAATCAAAAACACTTGCTCAGATTTCAGAATTCGTTTTTAATTATTAAAACTCTCTATTTTAGATAGGTGAATTGCGTAGTCTAGGAAATATTATATTACTGAACTGTCACACAGTAATGTAAATACTTCCTTAACTATGTTATGAAATGTTCTGCATCGTAATTAATATTTACTAATTTTTCCAGGAATGGAAATAAGTATTTTAGAGTGGATGGGAACGAAGGAATGTTTTCTATATGTATGGAGTATATGTATCTATTATCTCACAAGAGCATTCTTTTTAACATCCTTTTACGTATATTAAGAAGCATGAAATGAATTTATTACATAATATAATATAATAATATAGACACTATTTAACATATGCAGCAATGCATTTAACCACCGTATTTAAGATAAACTAACGTAATTAAGTGCAGAAAAACGTAACGAATACCACGATTCATAATGAATGTGAATTTATGCACTAAACAATTGTTCACTTAAAAATGTTCTTAATGTAAAATTTTATTCATTATTATGACTTGTTTCTAGATTGACCATCGAACAAAGTTACCTGAAGCAAGAATACCACTGAGACCCGCGACAGTGGAGGGTCTGAATAAAGAACAAGCAGATGTGGAAGCTGGAGCGCCAAAACTACCAGAGGGATTATTTGGCATTCTTCCCAGCGACATCGACAAGTATTCACGACTGGTATTCCCAGTGATTTTCATCTCCTTCAATCTTACCTATTGGATTATCTACTTGCACATCAGTGACACTCTAGGCGAGGATAACGTTGCGCTGTCTTAAGTTGTCGATGCTCATCTGAAGTAATCCTTCGTTTGTATGCAGAACGGTACATCGATTCAGTGTAGACATAGTGGTATTACTTGACTGCTGATCAGAACTCCTACGCAAAGCCTAACATTAATCTAGTCGAATAAATTTCGCCAACAATTCCGGAACTTTAATCATATTAATTTTAATCACGTTATGACTGTTCATGAAATTGCCCATGAGTTTAATATGTGTTACATATACCGCCGGCGCCATTTGGCAATGACAATAGCACTCATCCATCTAGAGTTTCTACTTTTAAGTGATATAATGCAAAATGCTGCAGAAAATTGAGCTGTTAATTGAAGCAGCTCGATTATTATACCATAGATTTTCCAAATTAAATGTTACAGATTTTATTTATTCTTGCTACAAAAATTTTCCTCAGCAGATAATGGTCTTTTTGATTTAAAACAGCTTTAAAAATATAGTAATATATATAAACATAAATGCCACCAAAAATGTTTTCACACACATGGCTAATAGAAATATAATTCTAAAATCATAAAAATTAACTTTAACTTCGTGGAGACTTTAAACTAAATTTTGAACATCAATAAATTTAACTTCTAAAAAATATGCATTTCAGACTAAAAGTAATTATTCAGTTGAAAAATAATTAAAATTTTGCATATCGTATTACAACTTATATTACAATTAAACAATAACAATTGCTCGAGTATCTGTTAGAGAAATTCTTAGAAAATGAAATAGGGGCAATAAAATATATAGCAATCTCCTAACTAAAGAGCAGTCTCCATTTAAAGACACAAATTTTTGCAACAGATTGTGATGCCCCGCTTTCTAATCTATTAACTTCTACAATTAGTTTATGATGAGTGCACTAGATTAGTAAATGTTTAAAGTAACAAATGTATCCCACAAATACTCGAAAAATCAATAGAAAAATAACGAGCACCAATCAAAGAGCGATAATGTTATTGCACTTTAGACAGTGAAATTGTGTACATGGGCAATGCGGTAGTTGTACTTGGAACTGCATCTGCGCTATGTTTCATCCTCGCCCCTTATCCATCGTAATAATAACACATACAGCTATGCAATACTTTTATAATAAAATTTCCTTTCATGGTCTGCATGCCCAACTCACTTGAAGTAAGAAAAACAATGTTTTAGTAAATCGAAGCTGATACACGTGCTTCCTATATGTGCTAGCTATTGTGTATAAGTTAAATTATCCATCGTTGTATTCAAATAGATACTGATTACCGAAAATCAAAATAACTAGATCGCTAAATTAAGAAAATCACATCCTTTCTATATATCAGAAGAAAACATTCCCCAAATGATTTGAATAGTTTATCAAAAAAAGGCTCTTTATATACACATGGCCCAAATTCCAACATCAGTTTGCTCCATTTACCTAAAATATATCCTCAAGAATTTTCTTTCATGTGTGTCAATTAAAAACTACAAAGGAGATGCAAAATAAAATGATGCGTTCTTATGTAATACGTTTCAAGTATTTTTGTTTTTGTTTCAAAAATCTGTAACGCATTCATTATTTTCTTTTCACGCATATCGGGGCACAATTTCCAAGCTGCATACAGAAACTTCAGAAACTCGATAAAATGCAACCTATAAATAAATTATTTTAGCAATATGACCTCTCAAGTATTTAAGGCAAAGTAAATAAGTTTTAAAAAATATTCAGAATGTTCTATACCTTCTAAAATACAAATAATGGTTTAAAGTAAATTTCTAAATTTATTTTAATGCATAATCAGCATATTTTTCAAAATAGCTACACGTAAGACAGCAAATCAATGATTACGTAACCACGCGGAATTGCCCTAGAAACATATATTAATGTCAAATATTAATTATTAAAAATTCATAATTACATTCTAAACGAAACGCGAAATATTCATAATTTCCTATAAGATAGACAGCTTGTAATAGTAAACAATAATATTTTTTTCAATAATCCAAAAATCTTGGAAGCTATGTAATATTAGAAATGTATTCTAATGCATTGGCTTCCTAATAACTCTTTTCACACACTCGACTTCGTAACCAATTTAAAAATAAGCAAAATAAGTAAATGCGATATTAATAAACAAAATTAAAATCTGCAATAGATTGGCATAATTTTATTTTTGATTAATAATGGTAAATTATCTAAAAGAAACGCGTCTGCGCATACCGTAAAATTATGCATTGTAATAAAACGTACTATCTAGACAATTGTTTCGAAAGATTATTATACAGAACTCCCAAAAAAATAAGTTTATCAATATACAATTAACTTTCCATCTAAAATGCGTAATAAACTACGTCACGCAAGGATTTCTACGCTAAAATTACGAAATATTTCCCACCGCAGACCATATTTGCAATCAATTATTTTCCGTTCGGAAGTACATTTTTACAGTACTGAGCTTCCTCGCATTAAGCTGTTAGAACCTTATAGGTAACAACTCTGATGTAAATTGATATTTTAAAATAATATGAGCATACAATCTGTTCTTCAGCCAGCAAGAATCTCCTGTTGTCTCCGCAAGAATTTAAGTGATCAAATCCTTCAAACAGAAAAGCCCTCACTGTGTCAAGGAAGTATATAACAGAATTTTTTTATTTCTGCTTCGGTGATAGACTTTTTTTTTTTTTTTTTTTTTTTTTTTTTTTTTTCAGATGCCAAATAATGATTTTGTTAATAGAAAAGAAAAAACTGAATGACATCTTTGAATCTCAAAATTAAATGCCATTGAGCAGACACAAACTGATCTGCAATGATATTTATTATACATTAATAATAGCAGTAAAACGAGCTTTATCGATCAAAAATTATAATCCGTAGAATTCAGATGATGCCTATCAGACACCTGTATATGTTGCTCTTTACGTAAGAACTTACGCACTATATGCAATATAACAAGTTAGTAAATGTATTTTTTACCTAATGTTTAACTCTTCTGAATAAAGTAAATATTTTATATCGGAAATGAAGAACGAAAATTAGAACCCATGCGACAATGAAATTTTGGGATATTTTCAATAATATACTGAACTGGACCTTTAAATTTTTAACTAGTCTGTACATAGGCTTTCCCATTTCATTCCTTTACATCTATAGATGGACTTTAAGAGAAATATATTTTCACAAGATCCAAATTATTTGTACATACTAACATATTTGAATAAGCACTTCAAATATGAAACTGAAAAGAAGACATATGCAATATTAACACACAAGAAGTCTTAACAGAGACTACACAATTTTCCCATTATTTTCATAAAAGTACTTAAATACTGCAAAAGAAGAACATACCACACTAGTAATTCAGCCATAAGCTATACTTTACATGTGCGCTGAAGGATAAAGCAATATTTCACAAGTGAAGATATAAGCTAATTCCCAAATGCGCAGACAGTATAAATTTATCTTACACGTATAAGTTTCCTCTATATGCTAATTTGCATCTCCTTTAGAAAAGTAAAAGGATATACTTTATTGGAAAAATTTTTAATTCATCTCAGAAAGAAACTAACAAAACAAATATTAATAAACTGATCTATGATGCATCTTTTATATTCAAGGCTGTGAAATTTAATGAAATTCCAGTAATCAGTCAGATTTAGCTGGCATTCACAAATTTACCATAGTTGTCATTAATGGTTAGCATAGATTTCAAATGTAAATGATCAGAGCATTCTTGAATTAAAATATCGGACTAGCTTAGTTTCGAATTATAAGCAAACACTAAAGAATATCATTCGTGTTTTCTTCAATTAATCTTGTGATATTTTATTTCTCATGTTTTATCTAATGTTTATTCAAATGTAAGAAAAGAATAATAAGTTAAAAATTGCTTCTCTCTCTACCTTTCGGGAAAAGTATCAGTTTTGGAAGACGAGCTTCCTGTACTTGCACATCAAATACTAATCTCTCCTTTTTCCTTAAATTTTACAAAACAATTATAAAAAAGAAACAAAAATAATTCAGAGGGTATTTTTTTTCTGAAATTTTTCTGAGACATTGTCAACTGAAAATATAACTTTATTCCTTTTTGTACCGTGCGACTTACCTTAATTATTAATTAATCTTGATCTTAACTCTGTTAAAGTAGTATACTTCTCAGTATACAGTAAAAGTAGTATACTTCTCAAATATTCTTTAATATTGTATTAAACTTAATTCTTACGCATCTTCACATGAAAACTTAAAAGGATGATAGCAAAAATTCTCTAAGGAAATTTCGACTTTCCTACAGTCACCTGATTAAATCATATATCCTGTCTTAATTTACCATTTAATAATTTCTTTATCTAATTATAATACTCTGCATCAAAGACTCATTTTCGTCAGTAACAGAAGTTACTACAGAATTAAGTTAAAAGATTTTTGCTGCATGCATCATGAAAAACAAAGATGCTTGAAAAAACGATTGCCCAGAATAGAATAATGTGTTATTGTAGCATAAGCGGAAGTCAAACTAAAAGTGTTTAAGCAATTAATTTCCCAGCGTAGAAGGAAGTCGCATTCTTCAGTTTTAAGAGCTGCTATTAGCTCACCATACTTAATTTTGCGTATTTACACGCTATATTTTAAAGAATTTAAAGAGTCCTTACAAAAATATAATACATTCCAACTATCCAAAGCTATAAAATACCATATTCGTTTTCTGTTCCAAAGCAAATACATTTGCATTTTACTTTTAATCCATTAGGTGTCACAACACAATTCTACAACGTTGAAAATTAATCCTTCAAGTTCTTATTTGAAAGTGAAAAGAAAGTAAACTTATTGTAGTCTTACAAAAAGTCTGAAGTTTCCTCTAAAACGTTTTTTCAATTTAAACAAATATTTGTTTCAGTGTTAATTACCTATTTATTTCTGATAAGTTTTCTAAATACGATTTTTAAGTGAAATATTTCAGTAAGTGAGTTTGAAGTAAATTAATCATCCCCAATTTTTTATTAGAATCTGTTTTTTAATTATTTAACCTGAAAACCATTGAAAATAAATCTATGCAATAAACGCAAAATTTATTTTACACGTAATAAAAATGTATTTTAATAAAATATTCTGTTAATGAAATTATTTCCCCTCAGTATACCGTGTTTTTAAAATGAAGTTTCTTAATCTATATTTCAAGTACATATAAAAGTAATGTTTAGGTAATAACAAAACTCTCGAATATAATAAAGTTCATTAATCGAATTTCACTTTTAGTATAATAACATCAAATTGTATTTTCTCAAACGTAGCTTGTAATATTACAAATCACAGAATTCAGTACATTTTCTTTTCATTAAAATCAAATAAAAAAAAATTAAAAAACCATTTAAGATATTTAAAAATACCATACAAGAAAACAGAACGATATTCGTAATTTAGCATGCCAAAACGTCATCCACCAACCCGCCCACACACATACACACACCAAAAATACGGTATGTTTTAAAATATAATCATTTTCTTGCGATTTTTGTAATGCTAATACTAGTATGATGTACGATAATGGATAAGTGTTTAAAAAAGCAAAAGCGATTATTTAAGCTTATTATCCCTTCACAAGCACTAAAACATTACCTTTTACACTTAGCATTATTGACTACATATTAATGCAATAAATGCCTTTATGAATTTGTGAAAAGGTGACCTATAAATATCTATATACATATGTGTACATAAATGCAAATATATGTGAAGTTCATTAGAACTGTAGGTTATATTAGTGAAACAATTCACCACAGAAACGTCCAGTTTTTGCTCAATTAAAAACAGGTTTAAGTGCAGTAGAACTTGACGTTTAACTTAAGTGTTAAACCAAATAGAAATAATTTTTGAATGTCATTAATTTCAAAAATTCTTTCAATCCAAAGAATGGTAAGTTACAACCTTAATTATAAATCATGAAGTAATAAGTTTAGTTTTTTATACAATGAAAAATTTACTTTCAGTCTTATAATTTTCATTATAAATCACGTAGAAATAAAGTTTAGTTTTTTTACTCTGTGAAAATTTACTTCCACTCTTACTCTAAATAGCCTATATTGATGCAGTAAAACCTAGTTTAAAATATCATACATCACCTAATATTGAGAAATCCAATCAATGAAAAGACTGACTTCAGTTTCGCATTCTGTTACGAGTGTGAACAATATTTATACTTGATAATAAAGTGGGAAGTTTAAATTATCTGATGATAATATTTCTTTATCAACTAGGTACTCAGCACTTAGACGTTAAATGTGATATTTTTAGCCATGTATATAAACAAAACAAAAAAGTAAAAGTTCATTAATTATCCCAAAAATGATAAAAAAAAGTAATTTGATTTTTTTGCTTGGGGCAAACAATTAAGTATATAAACAAATGTTAATATAGAATTTTAGAATCTGAACACTAGAAGTTGAACTGCAGTCCGATTGTTTAAAATGGCAGAAAATTCTTACGACTATCAGCATTCATTTTCTGTTGAAAGGATTGGCAGACTCGAATAAATTCCAGCAGAACTAAACAAAAATACGATTTTTTTTTAAACTCAAGTGGCTAATCTCAATACATTTTATGACCTAAAACAGGTTTTTAAATCCTTTCTTAGAAAGCAGTTCATTTCAGATATAAGCAAAAGTGATGTTAATATTAAATGTATACCAGTTACCGTTTTCGCAAATATGAATAAAACTGGTATTATTTGACAAAAGGTATAGCATAGCTATAAATTTAGTTAATATTGAAGCAGAATATGAAAACTTTTAAGACAATAACTAGCGGCATAAAAACTTTTAAGAGAAATAACTGGTGAATGTCAAATATGTGAATAATAGATTAGTAATGAATTTAATTTCATAATTAATGAAAATAAATTTGTATATTCGCGATAGCTTACAAATAATAGGCCCAGTTATATTATATGGGACACTGAACACACAAAAAAATAGATAATGTTCAGAAGAACAACTAAGTGCCAAAAGATTTCCTTGCCAAAAAATATATAAATATATATTTAAATTAAATGCATCGTCCTTTTATCCCCCATTTTTTTTTAGTTAGTTAGACTAAATAAGCAGTACTTATATTTTTATCTTTTATAAATGATTTAATTTGTTTCCATGTTAAATAAAGTTTTAATCTCTTTCCCAATTTGTTACTTAAGCTTCAAATCTGTAACCTAACAAATTTAAAGGAAAATTTGAATTTATGTAATAACTTTCTGACATTGATTGTTATAGTATTTTCAGTTTCATGTGGTTTTTGTTAAGATCCTTCTTTTTTATTTTATTTTTTTAATATGTGAATAAAGTAATTTGGTAACTGATCTATGTTGCAGTTATTTATACATATTCACAGAAAATGTATCAAATAAAAAGTTTAATTCAAAATACTATTTAAAATATTACGAATTAAATATTTGCAATATATATTTTACGTATGACGAAACGTAGTTAATATAATAAAATTGGTTTTGATTTATAATAATTTTTATTCATTTTTAAAAATTTTTCATAATAAACAAAATATAAGTAAAATAATTTTTAAATAATGCACATGAAACGGTTACTTTGTACTTGAAAATATTTATTTCCAAAGCAAACTTATACAAAACGTAAGTATTTAAAAAATACTTCACGCATTAGGAGATAAATTTAATTGCTTTGTGCATAGTAATTATGTATGGATAATATATTTAAAAGCAGCTATTATCTTAAATTTAGAAATTACAAATTACTTGAATAAATGTTTTTACTTTAAATATTCATTTTAAATGTTTCAAGCTATGCATAAAAATCGCATATGAAATAAATTCTAAAATGATCAGATAACAGTTGACAAAAGTCAGAAATCATTTATAAATTGGGAGTATTGGGTACCTTACGTTTGTTATTTTCACATGATAATATTCTAAAATTGGGTTACTGCCGCTGTGATTAATTACTATCAAATGGCATTTTAAGACAAACTTTTCTCGGACTTCCCAAGCATACTCTATATGACCGAATACATTCAGACACAAATCCAAAGCCGTTAATTTAGATACTTACATTAGATACATACACACTCTTTGGGAAAAAAAAAATCGAAGCACCATGTGTTGGTGTATTTAATTATGGCAAAGCACACTAGGGCTATCTGCCAAAGGGAAGGGATGCCTTCGTGGAGGACTTTCTAAGGGAAACTGGCTCGTATACACGTTACACATGGGAAAAACCACGAAAACACCCATGCAGCCAGCCCGTTCGCGGGATTTGAACCTCGGACCGAACTACCAGTGTTCAGGGACTTTACCGCTCGGCCGCTGGTGGGCTCGAAGCACCATTAAGGAAGGGGTTGTTTTCGATGAAATTGAATGCGTGTATAGCTCATACACAGCTAATAAAATCATTAAATAATCAAGGTCATAGTACCTGTTCACGCCTCACAATCACTCACTGAGTGTTCAAATTAGTAGTTAGTCGAACCACCCCTGGCGGCAATGCATGCTTGAATTCGTCGAGGCAAGGAGTGGTAAAGGTTCCTAATACCATTCTGAGACACATTCTGCCAGGCATTCATCAGTTGTCGCTCCAGATCTGCGATATTTTGTGGTGCCCAAATCTGGCGGCCTATCATGCCCCAGACATGCTCGATTGGTGAAACGTCTGGTGATCTTCCTGGCCAAAGAAGAGTATCAACCGCACGGAGACAATCCAGAGATATGCAAGCGGTATATGGGCTGACAATATCTTGTTGGAAAATGGCCCCAGGATGACGTGCTATGAAGGGTAATGCAACCAGCCGCAGGATGATATCAACATATCGTTGAGCTGTTAAAGATGTACGGAGGATGACTAAAGATGACCTGCTGTCATAAGAAAAAGCGCCCCACACCATCACACCAAGGATTAAGGCTGTATGGCTTTGTAAAACAAAGGCTGATTGGTACCGCTAGCCCCGTCTTCTCCGGACACGACAGGGTGGTCATCTGCTTCAAGAGTGAAACGGGATTTATCGCTGCACACTATACGATGCCAGTCTAATGGCAGCCATGATGATCGGCTGCGACACCACTCCAGACAACTCCGCCGATGTTGTGGGGTCAAAAGCAAAGTCTTAAAGGCCCCTGTGAGCGTAACCCCACCTCAGACAAGCTCCGTAAGATGGTGGACGGTACCACGGGAGGTATAGACATGGCTGTAGTGCGTTGAATAGTCGACAATGATACCATTGGGACGGTTCGGGCCTGGCGAACAATCATCCTGTCTTGCCTCGCATTTGTGATTCTTGGCCTTCCAGAGCCTTCATTTCGTCGGCAATTTCCTTCTAGCAACCATTGCTGCCAACGTATTTGCACAGCAGTATCTGTCCGCTGCAGGTGGCAGAATATTGCTCGGATGACCACCCAGCTTCACGCAACCCTACTATGCGACCACGTTCGAGTGGTGTGTGGTGTATTTAACTATGGCAAAGCACACTAGAGCTATCTGCCTAAGGGAAGGGATGCCTTCGTGGACGACTTTCTAAGGGAAACTGGCTCGTATACACGTTACACATGGGAAAAACCACGAAAACACCCATTCAGCCAGCCCGTTCGCGGGATTCAAACATCGGACCGAATTCGAGAATATAGAACTCTCGGACAATTTACCGCTCGGCCGCTGGTGGGCCCGCGATCATATTCGAAGTTGTTCATTTGTCTGAAAGGTCTTCGATATCGTCGTAATGGCATTTTTAGTTGCTTCTTTATGGAATTACAATGGCAGTAACAAAAAAAAATTTCCGCCTCCGTTACTGGTTTTATACTTTGCGAAATGCGCACTAGAAAAGCGCGCTACGATCGCAAATCTTGTTCATTTGCCTTGAAACTTTGATCATTTGCATGTTCGATCAAGATGTTTTACATACCAAACTTTTCACGATCGCAACTTGGTTCTTATTTTTTTTTTTTTAAAGAGTGTGTTTAACTCGTACTACAGCTTTACCCTCGGTCAAGTCATTAATTAATACCGCTGTATACTAGTAGTTCGAATTCAGATGGTCCGAATAATAAATTCATGTTTGCTTTCCCTAGAAACATAATAATACTCCTTTTCATAAAACAAGGGCTGTAAAAGCCTGCCTTAATGAAGGGAATGCAAAAGAAATAACTAGAATTCACAAGGTAATATATATTCCACCAAACAAAATTTTTCAGAATATCAATGATGGATATTAATTCTCCTGAGCAAGAATGGAAGGAAACTCGGGTAGCAACATTTCAAAATCAAATGAAAGCTTTCTCAGAAAAAAAGAATGCAGGTTGTGAGCGAAACAATACTCACCAGCGGCCGAGCGATAAAGGGGCTGAGCTGTTCGCTCCGGGGCTTGAATCTCGGCCAACGGGGTGGCTGCAAGGGCGTTTTCGTAGCTTTCAATATGTGTAACGTGTATAGGAGACAGTTTTGCTTAGAAAAGTGCTCCCCGATGGCATGTTTTTCCTTAGGCAGATAATCTTCGAATGCCTTGCCATATTAAAATAAATAAAACCAAAGGTTAGCGAAGGAAAACTATATCAGTTGCATTGTTAATTTGCTCCGTCATAGAACTCTCGGACAATTTATTAATTTACTCTTCAAATCTTTGAAAATTTCTTATGTAGCATATTATGGAGGCTTATGAGATATAAACTGCAAACTTCCTTCTTCCACAACTTAAATTAAGTCGTAGAAACTATCACGTTTAGAGTTCGTATGATAAAAAAGTATCTGAAAGTGTGAAACACTATGCTTCATGTTTTTTCCTCATTAAAAAGCTTACAGAGATTTTGAATAAAAATTATTTGCTAAAATTTATGATTTTCATTCATTTAAAAACTGGCGTGGCAGATACAGAATCGTACAACTATTGTAATTAAAGAAAATTTTTCTTCGTCAAAAAGAAAATTCTGATAAATTTCAATTAATATTCAGAACGTCAGCATCCTATGTGCAATGGTGTAATAAATTTACAGCAGTAAAATATAAAATTTCACTTCAGAATTTATTGCATGCTCATGTAGTAAAAATAAAACAAGAACAAATGCTTTGTTCTTAACCCTCTGATCGAGGGTACAAAATACATTAAAAAAAGGGGGAGCCTCTTTTTTTTTCCCCCTGAGAACCTGATTGTAGAAAAAAGTCCCAGTTTCTACCGACGTGGTAAGAATGTTACCCGCGTATGTTCAGGATAAAAGGGTTAACGCGTTAAACACGGATTCTACGTTTGGAGGGTTAACTGCAAATATCTGGGCCGATTAAATAAAATAAATCAATATTAGGATGTTAAATAATAATAACTCAAATTACATACAGACGTAACACACAGACGTAATTTGAAAAACATATAAAGAAAAACATTGCTTTTTATACCCAGTTCATTCAAAAGTAAGTGCCAAGATGCATTTTCTACACAATTGCTTTTCTTCATTTCCCTTATTTTTCAGTTACTGCTCACAGAATAAATTGCGTATGGTCCAAATGCTTGGCAAGATTTCACAAATTTATAAAAATAAATAAATGAATGAATAAATACATCTAACTCGATTTGAGGGAAAATGAATCCCAAGGAGGCGAATTTTTATTTCTACTTTTCACTGAAACAGGCAGCTATGCCATACAAACAGTAACTATCGCTGGCAACATTGAGAAAGATTTACTGAGTACAAGGAATGCGTTATATATTCCGCCAAGAAAATTATTCATTGTATTTACCGGTAGAAGTATTCAAAATCGTTTTCAGTTTCTGACTGCGATCGTTAATGTCGACAGAGTACAGTGCCCTCTATGAGTAAATATCTGAATTAAATATTTTCTTCCTCTCCTAAAAAGGACGTAACGGAGTAATCCCCTCGTTGTGATGCAATTCCGTACAAATCTCTCTCCTTCGTCTCCAATTTTTATAATTTTTTAAATTATTTACGGATTTGGTTCATCCTGTAAATAGTATGAAAAATTCAATATAAGAAAGTTCACTAAAAAGTTCTGAAGGTTTAAAACAAACTTTAGTTTACGCAATTCTAACTAATAATTTATTGAAAGTGCGTTTGTTTCTTAAGCGGAAAAAAGACAGCTGTTTTAAAAAATTAATAAAAGTATGACATATTCTGAAATATATATCACTTTTTCCCCCTCACAATATACAGCAGTGAAATTATCTTCCATTTAGTGAAACGTGTGGCATTTCAGTCAAGTTTAAGTAAACAAGTTTTAATTTACAACTTTCGCTTATGCTTCATTTCGTCAATTATTCGCTCATTCCAGAATATTATACAGATTTGATTTTTCGGTTTAGTAGAAATTTACAGAAAGAATTCTTTATTGTATG